CTCAGGAGGCTGAAGCAGGAGAATTGCCTGAACCCAGGAGGCGGAGGTTGCGGTGAGCCGAGATCGTGCCATTGCACTCCAGCCTGGGTAACAAGAGCGAAACTCCGTCTCAAAAAAAGAAAAAAGAAAGAAAGAAAAAGGAAATGCAGATGATAGAAAACATTTCCCATCTCACTTTATGACGCCAGTATTACACCAAGAGCAGCCAAAGGTATTACAAAAACACTATAGACCATTATCTTTCACAGACACAGACACAACAATTATTAACCAAGTTTCAGCAAACAAAATCTAATCATACATTAAGTGGGCCTTAATATATGACTGTCACTATCAGGTAATATCACTGTCAAACCCAATCACTAACAAGCGGGGCCTTTCCTAGGGATGTAAAATTTGTTTAACATTTAAAGTTCATCATATAGAATAGGACATAGGAGAAAAAAATATGATACAATGCAAAAAGAGAATGTGACAAAATTCAACACTCAATCATGATAAAATTCTCCACAAATGCGAGGAAGTTTCCTAGAGATAGAACTTGCCTGAAAAGCAGCTTCCCTCATGTTTGACAGTGAAACAATGTGTTCTCCTTTGGATTGCAAGCAAGGCAACGTCTATTCTCATCACTTCTATACAACATTTACTACAAGTTCTAGCCAGGGCAAAAAGACAATTGGTAGGAAATAAGAAATAACGCAGACTGAAAAAGAAGTAGGCTGGCGGGTGGCTCACACCTGTAATCCCAGCACTTTGGGAGGCCAAGGCGGGAGGATCGCCTGAGGTCAGGAGTTCAAAACCGGCCTGGCCAACATGGTGAAACCGTCTCCACCAAAAAATACAAAAATTAGTCGGGCGTGGTGGCGGACGTCTGTAATCCCAGCTATTCGGGAGGCTGAGATGGGAGAATCACTTGAACTGGGGAAGTGGAGGCTGCAATGAGCTGAGATCAGGCCATTGCACTCCAGCCTGGGTGACAGAGACTCTGTCTCAAAAAACAAAAAGAAGGGTGGGCACAATGGCTCACGCCTGTAATCCCAGCACTTTTGGAGGCCGACATGGGCAGATCACTTGAGGTCAGAAGCTCCAGACCAGCCTGGCCAACATGGTGAAACCCTATCTCTACTAAAAATACAAAAATTAGCCGGGTGTGATGGTGAGCACCTGTAATCCCAGCTACTCAGGAGGCTGAAGCAGGAGAATTGCCTGAACCCAGGAGGCGGAGGTTGCGGTGAGCCGAGATCGTGCCATTGCACTCCAGCCTGGGTAACAAGAGCGAAACTCAGTCTCAAAAAAAAAAACAAAAAAAAAAAAAAAAAAAAAAAAAAGAAAGAAAGAAAAAGAAGTAAAACGATTTGCAGATGACATGATTATATAAAAAATCCTGCTGAGGCAGAAAGATCACTTGAGGCCAGGAGTTCAAGACTCCAGCGAGCTATAATCACACCTGTGAACACCCACTGCACTCCAGTTTAGGCAAGAGAGTGAGACCTTATCTCTAAAAAGTAAAATAAAACATAAAAATCCTAAGTGATCTACAAAACAAAATAGCTACTACAGTTAAGAAGTGTATTTAGAAAAGTCAATATACAGAAAGTAGCAGTATTTCTAAACTATAATAGCGATGAACAATTGGAAAATAAAATTTTAAAATATTTACAATGGTATAAAAAATATGCAATACTTTAAGGATAAATTTAGCAAAATATGTGCAAAAAATGTACATTGAACACTATCAAACATTACTGAAAGATTTAAATAAATTAGAAGACAATTTTATTAAGAAGTTAAATTGATCAACAGATTCAAGCAATCCCTATCAAAATCCCAGCAGGCATTTTTTGGTAGAAATTGATACACTATTTCAATAATTTATGTAGAATTGTAAAAAGGACGCAGAATGGCCAAAATTTTGAAAGAGAATGAAGCTGGAGAACGTAAAACCCACCACAAAGCTACGGTAATCAAGATAGTGTGATATTGGTTAATTTTTTATTTAATTAATTTATTTATTTTGAGATGGAGTTTCACTCTTGTTGCCCAAACTGGAGTGCAATGGTGTGATCGCAGCTCATTGCAACCTCCACTTCCTGGGTTCAAGCGATTCTCCTGCCTCAGCCTCCCAAGTAGCTGGGACTACAGGCATGCGCCACCACACTTGGCTAATTTTGTATTTTTAGTAGAGATGGGGTTTCCCCATGTTGGCCAGGCTGGTCTGAAACTCCTGACCTCAGGTGATCTGCCCGCCTCAGCCTCCCAAAGTGCTGGGAACAGGCAGGAGACACCACACCTGGCCTGGTATTGGTTTAAAGACAGACATATGGATCAATGGAATAAAATAGAGTGTCCAGAAATAGACCCTCAGAAATATCATCAACTGATTCTCTACAAAGGTGCAGTAATGGGTTGAATGGTGACCCCCAAAATTCATGTCCACCTAGAACTTCAGAAAGGGACCCTACGTACAAATAGGATCTTGGCAGATGAGGCCATACTTGATGGAGTGAGCCCTAAATCCAGTCCTTATAAGAAGAGGGACACAGGGATCCATGTGGGAATGGACACAGAGTGGAGCCAGGCAGGAATAAGCAAAGGAGCCCTGCCTGCCAGAAGCCGCTGGAAGCCAGGGAGAGGCGAGGGAGGCTCTGGAGGCCTCAGAGGAAGCATGGCCATGCCAACACCTAGGTTGTTAGCATCTAGTTTCCAAAACTGAGAAAATCCATTGCTGTTGTTTGTGACCACCAGTTTGTTGTAATTTCTTATGGACACCTAGTAAATTAACAGGTGACAAGTTATTTTCAAATGAAAACCTTTTCAACAAGTGATGCTGAAGATATTGGATATTCACAGGGGAGGAAACAAAAGAAGCTTGGTCCTTTCTTTGCATTGTATAAAAAATTAACTTGAGGCAGGGCACGGTGGCTCACACCTGTAATCCCAGCACTTTGTGAGGCCGAGGCAGGCAGATCACCTGAGGTCAGGAGTTCAGGCCTGGCCAACATGGTGAAACCCCCATCTCCACTAAAATACAAAAATTTGCCAGGTTGGGTGGCAGGCAGCTGTAGACCCCGCTACTTGGGAGGCTGAGGCAGGAAAATTGCCTGCACCCAGGAGGCAGAGGTTGCAGTGAGCCAAAACCATGCCTGGCCTGTATTACTTGTTTAAAGCTTTCAATCCATAAAAATTAAACACATGCAAAAAAAGTTTTCCCAAATCTCCAATCGCGCTGAGAAAACAAAACAGCAAAACTGGTTACTTTACTTAGTAACATGCCTTAGGTTAGCACATAGCTTCTAGGGTAGAGTCAGCATCTGTCATACAAATATATTTTTCCAGTAAAAGCATGGTCACAGTGTTCTGGGAAACGACTGGTCAAACTCCACATTTTAAAGTCTGGAGCTCCCCTAACCCTTTTATTGGAATAATTGTTATCCCTTTCTCAAAAGAGACAAACATGACATGAAAATTGGTTGTCTACTGTCCTCACGTAAATCACTCTAAGTTGGTATGTGCATTTTCCCCAGAAACTAAAATGAAATGTTACATACATATATATATTGTAACAAATGGAATATATAATGCTTAGTGTTTAACTGGTGCTATTGGAGAGCGAGAAGAAATAGGCCCTTTGAAACAGCCTCAAATAAGAGAACTATTGCTGTCTCTGGCCACGGCCCAGATGATAAAAGGGGCCAGACCACATCCCCTCCCTTTCAGCAACTGTGGGCACAAACATTTCTATTTTCCACTTAAAAAAGGGGGGTGTAGCCAGGCGCTGTGGCTCACTCCTGTAATCCCAGCACTTTGGGACGCCAAAACGGGCGGATCACGAGATCAGGAGATCGAGACCATCCTGGCCAACATGGTGAAACCCTGTCTCTACTAAAAATACAAAAAAATTAGCTGGGCATGGTGGCAGGCGCCTGTAATCCCAGCTACTCAGGAGGCTGAGGCAGGAGAATCGCTTGAATAAGGGAGGCAGAGGCTGCAGTGAACTGAGATCGCACCATTGCACTTCAGCCTGGTGACAGAGACCCTCT